AGGCGCATGCATGGCGCACCTTGAGAAACGTTAACTAACATAGACTATTTTCTAGATTGAGGAGTCAATCAAACACATATCGGAGAGCCATGATGAACTTGCTCATCTGTGCCTGGAAAGTGGCCTCAAGGGCCAGAAGGCCACAAGAGCTGCCGAGAATTTCACATGGAATCTGAGGTGAGTCTATTTGGCTGTTAAAAACCCTGCCTCGTTCTGAGAAGTCCGGTTACAGAACACATACGAAAACCAAGATGTAATTAAGATTAAAAATGAAGCTAGATCAATCTTTACTTTCATCTTGAGTGCTCGATTTTATCTGTCTACTTTTCAGGCTTCTCAAAGCCCAACTGAGTCTGGTCAGTAAGAGCCAGGATGAGGCTCAGGACATCATCACGCAGGTAATCATACCGAGTGCTTGATTTTATCGATCGAATATTTTTTTAAAGCAAACAGTAATTAATTGGAGAAGAAAAGATCTGTGGGTGCGTTGCGCAGGCTGCATGCCTGAACAAATTACGACTCGGGTTGGACAGAAATCAAAAACAGTGATGAGGAGAGGCAAACTTTTTCAATTTTCCCCCTTTCGCTATGTTTCCTCGGTAGTTATTAGCAGAGGCCTGGAGTGATGACAATGAAATATTTATAACTTACATGGATACGATAGATAAAAACACCATTAATAATTTTGGATTCCTTTCTCAGCCCTGATTGATCTCAGATGAATGGCGCGTTGCTGCTATCCCCCCTCCCCCTTTACACCGATTTCCATTTACCGTAAACGGGTAGATTGGGTGTTACATCACATTCCGTTATGGTAGTTAGCAATCTTTTCTAGCACAAAAGTCAAATCGAAAGTAAAGAAAGAATGAAAACATAACTGGAATGAACAAAAAATGAAAAGGAATGTTCAAGGTAAACATCACTTTTCCTCATCATTCCTAACCACTGGAGACCATCTTACCTTTCGTTTGTTCCAAAAAGCACGCATATATCATAAGGTCAAGCCGCGCATCGCACAAGTGCATTGCTGCGCCCCGCAGCGGCGACTTTGGAACGACGAGTAAGCGAGCGGTGATGAAGCTTCGGTGCTAACTCAGTTGGGGGCAGGGTCAACCCTACGTTGTTACGAGTAACAACGGGGGGTCGTACCTGGTTGAGTTTGTAGGAGGGGGGGTCGTACCCACTTTAGTCGCTCGAAATCACGTGTGGGATTGAGGTGAAACTAAGATTTCGTGGGTAGTAGGCTGGTGAGTGGAGTGGAGGGCGCGCAGGATAAAAATTTGCCGTTTCAGCGGGCGTATATACCCCCCCTAGAAAAGGAAGTAGTGGGAGTATAGGTAAAAAATGGGTTGAAATGGTGGAAATAGAAGGAAATTTTCGGAGATATTTACCGTTTCAGAGTGACTATACCCCCCCCCCGCTCGACGGCATTTTTGGAGGAAAAAGTGGGCGGGGTTTTGATGGAAGATGGAGATGGTTTGGTAAAAGGGGAAGTATCAAATCCACGTTCAGCGAAACAAGGAGGGGCTGTTGATCGTCGGGAAGATTTTTGGCTAGAAGCTACAAAGCCAGTACTTTCGATACCTGAACAGATAAAGCTACAGGAGGAGGAGGACGAAGCTTTGATCAGGTATAAATCAGTTTGACTTATTGGATGGGTGGTTACGTTCACAGTCTGAGTAAGGAAAGTTGTTCGCTGTTCAAGGAAGGTTTATGGTAAAACTGCTGATGGGAAGATCATGAAAAGGATAGAGGACGACGTGAAGGAGGAAGAGGAGGACGAAGACTTAAACAAGCCTGGTACAAGTGGATTGGTACGTTACTATACCTGTCCATATGTCCTCATGACTCAAGTCTTTCAACCTTTTTGAAAAAGATTCTAGGTTTAATGGGGCATTCTGATCTGTCTTTCGTAATCACAAAGTTTTGTTGTTTTCTTCCGACGCCTCCCTTGTGTTGCTTTTATCTTTATGTCTCACTAACGATAACGAATAATGAAGATCTTCAGACGGGCTTCTTGCAAAGCTCAAAAACTGTTGGCTTCATCGGTCGTTTAACTCTTGTCAATCTTTTTTGGCACTTAATTATTTTTTATGGTGCAGCGCGCATGTGTTCCATTATTGCACTGGCACTGCCATAAAATGCGCGGCCTGCATTACGCATGTTAAACTTTCTTTGAAAACATTCCCTACTGATAGAGGCTTGCTTTCCGAACAAAAAGCTTTTTTATCCCGGACTGGGAAATGAATTAAATGGAGAATAAGAAAATTGACATCGTTCCATGTTCAGAGCGCTATTATTCTTTTTGTGAATGGCTTGAATTCGTTGGCATTCAGTTTAGGTAGATATTAATCATGTGATTGCATGCACAAGATATCATCTCTCACATTCAACTGCACAGGGGAAGGTGTTTTGAACGGCCAAGGTCGTGAAAGACACGGGTTAACGAATGTTTTAGTTACTGGCTCCGAAAAATTTTTCTTTGTTTCGGGATATGCCGTTATTTTGTTAATTTCTAGATATCCACATTGGCTGAGCCTGCAGACATCAAGCCTTTCGATATAAAGCCAAATTTTGCCGAAGGATCCACCGAAACGTGCCAACGATCAGAGGTCCTTGTTATCAAAGATGGTGATCGTGAAGAAAAAGAAGGTTTGTTCAATTACTCTATTTAAATATTGGCGCGCCTCTAATTTTACTACGTTCCTATTTGGAAGTTCTAGTTTTAACGCTTTCGGCCCTGGCGGTGGCAATTGCCACCATCAAATTCAAATGTTTGCATTGCCGCTGAAACAGCATGGTTTTTCTAATCCTGCTAGAGGTTGCTTCAGTCAACCTTCCCCTTCCTAATTATGAGCTAACCTGCCATTTCATTGTGTGTTGCTGTTAGTATTACAAGTATTTGTGTACAAGTGCAACAATGAATCGGCGCTGGTCCCCGCAACCGGCCAAGTAAGTGTCACTTTTTCTTAAAATACTTGAAGTAGATCCATTCCTAATCAAAATTATGGGTTATAATGTTATGCAAGATTATAAACTTTTTCGGCATAACTATGAAATTTCGAATTGTTTCGACATAAGCTTAAAAACTAAGAAGGTGGGCCAATTTTCAAAGCTTCTTAGTTTCTTTGTTTGTGATCGAATAGCTTCCAAATTTCGCCATAATGATACCTATATGCTCACAAGTAATAAACAATAGCTAGAAGAAAAATTTCTCCACGGGGAAAAATTCAGGTCCGAAAGGGTTAAAGCTTTCTTATCCTCTTAACTGATGTTGAACTGCTAGAGTGTTGTTTTTAGGGGGTTCTGAAGCTTCTCAAATCGACTTAGGCGGATCACATATTGTCGATTGACTTTGCTATTATATTTTACAGTTTTAAGTGCCTCCTTCGCCATTGGGCTTGTTTATCAGAGTAGAGATTCTACTCAAAATAAAACTTACCTGATTCTCAATAATGGGATACGTAACATGTGGAGTTCATTGCCAGGAGCTTTCACAAGGAAATTAGATTTATTGCTGGAATTTAAAACCATTTTGAGCCGCCGCTATTTGTTAACCTTAGTAGGTTTTGTTGTCTGTTTTATCGTTGCTACCGCAATGGATTTATTTTGCTTGTTTGATTTGGTATTGCATTTAATCATACTCTTTTCCAGCTGGAAATAAAAGAGGAACCAGCTGATGAGTGTCCTGAACCACCTCCTCCTGCTCCTCCTCCAACGCCCTCCACTGCAGAAGTAAAACCGACCAATGGATTGCTTGGCCTCTGCGCCTACGGAAGTGGATCTGATTCGGACTGACCTCATCTCGTCGTATGATCTGTATATATTTGGCAGTAAAAATAAAGAAAACTTTATTCAACAAATACTATAGATAATTACAATGAATAAAATCGATAAAATCAAACAAGATGGTGTGATCGCGACTTTCCCTAACAACTGTGTGTTGAGATGAACCGGGTAAATGTTGTGTTAAGTGAAGGTCGAAATGGTACGCCGTCTTTAGTGAGTGATCACATGGCGTGTTTCGAGGTTTGGGCAACATTTGATTGAGTGCGAGTTTCGTGAGAAAAGTCCGTGGGGTCGATCCCTATGTGTCAAAGGGTCGTTCACGGGAGTGGACGTGATGAGGAAAGTGGATTGCACCGTTACAGAAATTTGTGCGTTTGATTGGGGCTCTTCTTAAATTCCAAGAATCCTTCCCAAATCCGAATAGAGATCTTTGTAGATGTGCTTGTGCTTAAAAACATTTTGTTTTCCTTGAGTACCTAGCGAGTTTGAGATCGCCATCAATTCAGAGAGTCGAGTCTCTTATGGGATCGTGGATGACACGTGAGAATCGTCGACCACTACGGCCCATCATTTTCGACGACAATATGCCCAAAACGCCACCGGTGTCGAAAACCTGAAAGAAGGTGTGCTTGTTGTTCTTTTTGAATAGCAACATAAATGAGTACAAGTGCAAAAGAACAATCAGAAACAGCCAGAAAGAAAGAAACTTCCTTGTGTCAGGGTCACGGTACCTGCGATTTCACCCAAAAATAGCTGAGTCATGGCCCGTGAGGTGTAAGTAAGAATGTGTGAGGTGATACTTAGTAATCAGGAGCTCATGTTGGTCGAAAAAAATTGCGTGGTTATGAATTTTACTCCACTAAAAGGGCGCGGACAAATAAAACTTGTGATTAGCTGGCTCAAGGCATCCTGTACCAAAAACATGAACTCATGAAACTTGTTTTGCGACGAAAGATGCGTACTTGTGTTAGAAGACGTGGGTGTTAACTTTAGTTGGGGGGGGGCCACGCGGCGGCGCGGCAGTCTGCTCGCCTGGCATGTTCGGAAATCCGTGGGCCAGGGGGAGTGTAGGCAGTCTAGGGGGTGGGGGGTGGGGGCAGTCACTTGACATGCGTGAAAAGCTGGAATGTTCGAGTTTACACTGTCTCGCTCGAGAGAGCCCAGGTGAGCAGACTGCCGCGCCGCCACGTGCCCCCAACCAGGGTCGGTCCTATCGTTGGTACTTTTTGCAAAATTTTTACGACCCTCCTCCCCCAACGTGGATTTGATACGACCCCTTTTTCCATACCTCCAC